ATTGGCCGAGAGGGACTTCCGGTTATTTGTTGGACCATAACCGGGTTGTTCATTAGAGGAGCAGTGGTGTTTAAGGAGTAAGATGTAACTCAGGGGTAAAACGGTAATTTGACCCAACTTGAGTTACGAGCACTCGTGAAGGATTGACTTATCATTAATGGTCGTATATCCATGGACACGAAAACATTCTGCAGTGAGAAGAGTGCAACTGTGGGTCTTTAGTGGAATGACCCGTAGTTAACGAATCTTAATTAACTCGATCAATGAGTTTGACCAATTAATCTTGCATCGTTGGAGCTTCTGATCTGTAGGTCCATTAGGTCCCCTTGCTAGCTCATAACGGGTAAAACGAGGATCAAGTTTTTGGAAGAATTTGAATTGTTCAAATTACTTAAGGGATTATATGTATATTGATACATTATAATATATAGTTAATTATAAATTAAAACTATATATTATGAGAGAAATTATTCGAATGAGATTCAAATAAAATTAATATGAATAAGATTCATATTAAAATTATAGGTTAAAAATAATGTGCATAAGATGTACATTAGAACTATAGGTTATACGAGAGAAATGTTATAGAATATGATTCTATTTTTGTGATAAATAATTAAGTGTTAATTATTTATTTGATTTATATATATATCTTAATTATTAATTGGATTAATAATTAATAATTATTTATTAATTAATAAATTATTTATTTATATTTTAATTATTATATATATATATATATATTATATATATATTAATTATTTATATATAAATAAATATATATATATATATATTATTAATATTATTAATATTAATAATATTAAACTCCCCTCCAATTTGGGAGGTTAGTGTGACGTGGGGAGGCTGCTGTTTTGTTTTTGCAGTTCTGCAAAATACAGAACACAGAAGAAAAACGATCCCGATTTTGGTTTTCTCTCAAAAATTCTCTCAAACTCTCCCTCTCTTCTATCAAGGTGCTACCACAAGCACGATCCCAAGACCCAAGAGGATAGCGAGGAAAATCCGGTGGTGGTGTTCGAGGGGAATTCATTGAAGAAACGTTCTTCAAAGGTTTGTTTTTCCCTTGTATTTTTCTTCTATAAAATTCGATTTTGTATCCCGAGAATCAGCAACGAAAATCCGTTTCCGCTCCAGGATTCACATCCTTTCAGTTAACTCTACTATAAAATCTGCCACAGCTTGTCTCTTCATTGTTGTCCTTGATTTATAGTGGATGTCATATTCTCTGAGCTCCACTGCCCAATTTACCAGACGTCCTGAAGTCTTAGGTCTTTGTAAGACCTGTCGCAAGGGGAAGTTGGTAAAGACGATTATCTTGTGTGCTTGAAAGTACCACGTAGCCTCCGAGCCGAGGTGATTAACGTTAGTGCCAACTTCTCTATCTGCTGGTACCTAGTCTCTGCATCTACCATCGCCTTAATTGTGTAATAAACCAGAGATTGTCGTCCATTCTCTTCTTTTACTAACACTGAACTTATAGCAGTGTCTGATACAGTAAGGTAGAGATGAAGCTTGTCACTTGTGACAGTTTAGAAAGAAGTGGTGCCTCACCAAGGTAGCTTTTTAACTCCCTGAAGGCGAGTTCACATTCTCCCGTCCACTCGAACCGCCCCTTTTTCCTTAGGATTTTAAAGAAGGGGAGACACTTGTCAGTTGAGCAATTTACGAATATGTTGAGTGCTGCTATTTTTCCATTTAGACCATGTAGTTGCTTTTAAATTCTTAAGCGGGTTCATCTCTAACACAACTCGAATTTTATCAGGGTTTGCTTCGATCCCTCGTTGATGCACCAAGAATCCAAAAAACTTCCCTAAACTCACCCCGAACGTACACTTGCTCGGATTTAGTTTTATCTTGTACTTCCTTAAGATCTCAAATGTTTCTGCTAGGTCTGTTTCATGTTGATGACCCTGCCGACTCTTCACCAACATGTCATCCATGTAGACCTCCATATTCCTGCCAATTAATGGTGCAAACATCCAATTCACCATTCTTTGGTACGTAGCACTTGTGTTTTTCAATTTAAATGGCATCACCGTGTAGCAATACAGACATCGGCTCGTGACAAAAGAAGTCTTCTCCTGGTCAGGCAGATGCATTTTTATTTGGTTGTACTCTGGGTAGGCATCCATAAAACTCAATCTCCCGTGCCCAACAGTGGCATCTACAAGTTGATCTATCTGAGGCAATGGAAAAGAATCTTTAGGACAAGCCTTGTTCAAATCCATGAAGTTGATACACATCCTCCCCTTACCATTAGCCTTCTTCACTAACACTACATTGGATATCCACTGATGGTAATGCACTTCTTGAATGAACTCTGCTTTCAACACCTCATCTACCTGCTCAGCCACAACCTTATTCATGTCTTGATTGAAGGTGCGACGCTTCTGCCTCACCGGCTTACGGTCTCCGACATTGAGTCGGTGCACCATAACTTCCTGATCGATTCCTGACGTATCTTCATGTGACCACATGAACACGTCGGCGTTACTTCTAAGAAAATTGACGAGACTCGCTCTTTCCTCAGCCCCCAACCTAGTTCCGATGTTGACTCGTCGATCTTCAGATGAAAGGGGACGAACTCCACCTCCTCGGCTGGTTCTCCCTTATTAGGAGCGGGCGACTCATATGGTGACCAGGGCTCGGGTGAGTTCCTCTACAATGGCTGATCAACTTGTTCGAGCTTTCTCCTAGATGACCAGCCTCATCGAGGCACTGCTGATTCCCTTCAAGGTCCATGTCGATTGCTTTATTCAGATTTTATCTTATCGGAGCCAATCTCGGTCAAATAGGCTTCAAATCTCAGTCTTCTCCACAAACAGCACCAATTGTTGTTGCAAAATTTGGCCTCCGAGGATTCTGTCAAATTTTCACCAATTTCCTAGAACAAACGGGATCAATGGGACCTGCAAAACAAAAGCAACCCTAAAACCGATGTGGTTTTTACCACACGGGCTCCATTGCCTTAGTCAGTATCAAAATGGTCTAGTATAGAGAGTAGAGTCTATTTTTCGTACCTCTAGGGTTTGGCTCATCCTCTTATTTATAGCAATCCAATCCCAATCCCTTTAGGGTTTACACAAGTCGAACCTTAGGGTGTTCAGGTGATCTCGGCTTCTGGGTCCATGTGTTTCCTCACGGGCCTAATATCGAATTGGGGGTCCAGATAAGACAGATTCATGTCGGAGGGCACAGAGGTCGAGAGAGAACCAAAGGAGTGTTCTCGACCAATGGCCGAGAACACCTCGGTGTCGAGGGAGTCACCCCCTATTGGCTTGATTTGACCCAGGTCAACGGTTCTCTATTCGTCCTTTACCCCAAGTCTGACCTCCTCCTTATCGCTTGGTCTGCTCTATTACAGTAGCAATGACTAACACCCAAGTTTTCATGCAAGTAAAACATGTCTGTGAATGACGTGTGTAAATTTGATGATTGCATATGTAAATGTGGCCTCAATATCATCCATATGTAATATATATAAAAAAAGTTGATTTTTATTGAAAAGTTATAAAGCCTTGACCATGTATGACAATACATGCTTTAACTTTGACTCAAATAATGAATTTGACTGTAAAGGCATGATATAGTCATGCATACACATGCTAAAGCCAAATGGATGCAACATAAGTATGATACTCGTATTTTAAAAAATTAACCCTTATATGAAAATGATTATGTTTTATGATTTTTCATGAACATAGTGATGCAAGTGTGTAGATGCATGCTTTTTTAAAATAGAACTATATATGAAATACTATTTGACTTGGAATATTAAATTCCTTTTGTGCCAATGAAGAAATG